ACTTTTTTTTCACCTCTTTTAGTGCTTGCCTATTGTGGAGTATACACGTATGTGAATGTGTATACTCGATGTTTGCATAGAATATTTCTCAGCTCCATTCATTCAATGATTCATTTATTCATTGCTGTAATAACTTACCAATATCTATATATTTATTGTGGAGGGGATTCCCTATTAATCTTTTATAGTAATTATATTTGTAAGAAGTGAAAATCATCTATTATTCTTCTTTTAAAATACTTTTTAAAGAGTTCATCTTAAGAAAATATAGAAAGTTACAAATAATAGAAAAAAAGAACATAATTTTTCTTCTAATCAACCACAGATACAACCATTACAGATCTAGAATCCTAATGATTCTTATTTTCCTTGCTTTATTAGTCCTATACTACGTTTGTATTTGTATGTATTGGGAAATTAAAATGCAATGAACTTCAGAAATTAATTTCAAAATGAAAACTCTTGATTGTTTTTCCAGTAGAGTGATAAAATGTGTAATATTGAAAAAAAAAAAAAGAATTCTAATGTTTTTTTGAGTGTATTGTTCTTTTATTTTACAGTTTAAGTATTTTACCCCTATTCACAGGCTTTGTTTTAGCACTTCCTTCATATACAATGGTTGTGTTCATCTTAAGAGCTAAGAGTTCACCACACTCCATTTTGCACGTAATTAAATGTGTCATTATAAACAGAAAAATCACTTTCTCTTCCCCGCAATTGGAATCAGCCTGAAGTTTTCAAAAACTAACAAAGGTTTTAACATTTATATTCAAACGAATTTGAAGGTGCATCACCATTTTCTCCCTCACAACACAATATTCCAGAGTTCGTTTGAAGGATTGCCTGTTTGTCTGGCATGTTCACAACGATCAAACAATGGTCTCGTTTAAAGAGATATCCAATTCCTTGTTTAACTTGTTCCGACCGTTATGATCTGAGATAGACTCACTTTATTGCTATATGTTGTACAGAAATAACATATGGTATACGCAAATAACCAGGTAAAATCGTCGGGGATATCTTATGTCTCTTAACTTTATTCTTCAAATGTCTTGTATTCAAGGACCCATACCAAGTTTATCTCAAACTAGCCTGCGACGTGTTTAGTAGATACATACAATTTTGGGTGGACTTGGATGTGTTGGTTTGAAATTCCAACGCTTCTATAAATATTCAAGTGTATAGGAAAACATATTCATAAGCTTGCAAAATACTTGGAAGGAGTGCGTTTAATAATTCTGTAATAACTAACTTGTAACTTTTTAATATTAAGGACTTGACTTTTGTATGAATCTGAGTTCTCTCAAATACACCTGGTGTAATAAGGAATATTGTACATCTGCCATCTGGTACGTTTAAAGTGTTATACACTATTATGTAGCACACATACAATATAACAAATTAAAGTGCAATATATTTTTTAAGTCTTATTAATGTACCATTCAAAGTTGATTATTAAATTTTTACAAAATGTATTGCTTGTCCAGTTTGATAAGTGTTATATAGTATACCTATACACAGTTGTTTTAGTATATATAAGATATTCTACTAATCTATTTTAAAAATATATTTATCTTAATATGCAATTTTGTTTGCTTTTCCTCCTGAATTTTATAAATGTTACATTATAACGTACCGTCAATCTTGAATTTTAGAATATTTTGTAGTATAACAGAACAAACAATGAATTATAACTTCTGGTTTTCGAATAAGACATATTTGGTAATAAACTATATAATATTTTTATGCGATATATTTTTATATAATATTGCAGTTACAGCACTTTTCTAATTTTTAAATCTTGTAAAAGTTAATATACATATACATATGTACATATGTGGTAATTTATTTTTATTTCAAACAACTTTTATTTTACACACTGTTATACTTATTTATTATTTATTTTTTCTGTATATACTTACAAAATTTATTGCAGCAGATGCATTAAATTTTTTTTTTAATAAAAAAAAAGAACATAAATATTGTCATTTCATTAATCTATTAGAAACACGATGAAATATTATTATAATGTTGTATAACAGTATGCAAATAGTAATTATCGTAATGAGTTACAAGAAAGAATGCATCAAATTGTGTATTAAATATAAAAAACAAGTTTGAAAACAAAAGCGAAATATCAGTGTAAACAATGATGATTTGTGACATGACATCAAATGTCAAAACTAATAACGTATTAAAGAAAGTTGTATTAAAATACAAACAATAGACAAAAAAAAGAGTAATAGAAAGAGAAAGAATTATAAAATAATTTCTTTGTAAGTATAACAAACAATAAATAATTAATTATAATATTTGAAATTGAATGCGTTTTATGTGCAATGTGTAATTATTTTGGGGTAATAATTCTATATTAATCATCATTTTTGTGTTGTATGCACTGTCATGTCATTTGGTGTTGCAATATGAACACATAACGTAAGCTATAATTATTTATGCAGTAATTTTATTAATATGAGGTAATTTACTAAATCAGTTATCAGTTTTAATGATTCAAGTTCAAGTAACTAGTGAACAATATGCTACATGCGCTTATTTTTTTAAATAATCAATATTATTAGATATTTTAGTCATTTGTACTGCGGGATCCAAGTATGTGTGACGTATTTAAATTTAATATTCAATTAAAAATGAAAGTCAAATTGCAGCGATTTTAAATCAAGTTTAATCAGGAAGACGTTTATAATTGAAGAAAAAGTAAGGCATATTATTTATTCATTGTACTTGATGAAAATTTGGAGTAATTTTATATTGCTCATCAAATGAATTCGGAGCATATTGACATATTTTTATAAAATCAAGCAATATGCATTAAGAACACTTGATAGAAGTCTCCAATTTTCGGTGTAGGGAAAAAACAACTTGGTTTATCTATCAAACAACCTTGGTTATCAGCCATGGTAAATTGCTATATTCGTAAATAAACCAGTAGTTTTTTAAAAACTAGTAACTCTCTAACCTATATTATATACCTAGAAATGTTTCCGTATTTTACATTGAATATTTAATTTAGAAACTTTTGACAAATTAAGCTAATCGCTTCTTCTCATCAAACTTCTCCGCCCCTTTATTTTAAGATCTCCTCTTGCCGTTATTGTAAATTTTTATTAAAGAAAACTTTAAGTTTTCATTTTAGAAATATTCAAAATATTTTTTGAATAAATTATTCTTGTGCTATGCAAATAGTTTTCTCTTTGTTTTATAAATTATGAGTTTTTGTTTTTTGATTTATGATATGAAATTGAATATGAGTTTTAGAAAAGACACTATTTGTATACTTAACAAAAATTAAAGAATAACAAGTAAAAACGTTTCAATCGGTATAAACCGATTGAATTATACCCTGCACCTTTCGTTATTGTATAGCAATTACTCGAACCTGTGAAATCATTCTATAGAAATATAACCTATAATTGGACATCCGACTGCCAAGTTTCATGAATCTGACTTTATTATTTTTCCAAATATTTAAAGTAAGCTTTTAGACTTGTATGGGGGCTACTCGAACCTGTCAAGCAATTCCATAAAAACTTCACAAATATATCTGATTTATAATCGGACACACAACTGCCAAGTTTCATGAATCTGACTTTATTATTTTTCCAAATATTAAGAATAAGCTTTTAGACTTGTATGGGAGCTACTCGAACCTGTCAAGCAATCCCACCAAAACTTTAGAAATATGTTTGACCTATAATTGGACACACGACTGCCAAGTCTCATGAATTTGACTTTATTATTTTTCCAAATATTTAAAATAAGCTTTTAGACTTGTATGGGAGCTACTCGAACCTGTCAAGCAATTCCACCAAAACTTCAGAAATATATTTGACCCGTAATTGGACACATGACTGTCAAGTTTCATGAATCTGACTTTATTATTTTTCCAAATATTTAAAATTAGCTTCTGGAGTTGTATGGCAGATACCCGAACCTGTCAAGCAATTCCTCTAAAATTTCAGAAATATATTTGACCTATAATTGGACACATGACTGCCAAGTTTCATGAATCTGACTTTATATAAAAAATATAAAAAATTTGCCGTTGGAGTTGTATGGCAGCCACCCGAACCGGTGCAGCTATCCCATTATAATTTTTAAAGCATGTGTAGAATATAATTGGACACACGTATACAAAATTTTATATTTATAGCTTTATTAGTTTTTGAAATATTTAAAATAAACTCTTGGAGTTGTATGGCAGCTACCCGAACCCGTTGTCCGACTTAGTCCAATAACAATAGGGTTCGTCCTTGGCACAAAAGAAAAAACTTGTGAAAGTTTGGTGTCGATTGCATTATTCGTTTTTGAGTTATCGTGCGATCGGACGGATGGACGGACGGACGGACATGTCTAAATCGACGCAGAATTTTACGCTGAGCAAGAATATATATATATGTCCATACCGCAGATGACTCCTTCAAGTAGTTACAAACTCCATACCAAAGTTAATATACCCTTCACGAAGTGCAGGGTATAAAAAATAAAGAAGATTGAAATTTAAATTAAAATTTCAAAATCGAAATCAAAAATTTTTAAATATTGGACATATAAAGAAATTTTGAAGTTTTGATGTCATTTAGAAAATTATTTATAAATTTAGTAATAAGTAACAAAATGGTTTGTAAAGATATTTTTGCCGAATTTAAGCTTATTTTTAAAATTGCTAATTATTTTAAAAGTAATTGAAAGCAATGAACCATAAAAAAGAATTTAAAAGTCCAGAAGGTTCCTCCGACTCAATAGTTTTGTGAATACAATTTTTTTAAATTAAAATTTCAATAAATTTGTGAGGAATTTATGAGGCAAACATTTTCCGACAAAATCTAACCGCAACCATTAATAAGTATTTATTATAAATTAATTCAAGATCTTAAAACCAATTTTCTAATTTAGGAATAATAATTTTTACCAAATAAAATTAAATCAAATAAATTATTTTATAAAAATTATAAAATTAAATTTTTTTTTTTATTTTTCAGGGATTTCAGAATTGCAACCAAAAAATATTTCATTGCAAATACCTAACCTACACATACATATATAGTTCTTAGTATAGAGCTGTAAAGGATAACCAAAAATAAAATATTTTCTATTTAAAACCAAAATATAAATCCTTTACGATAGTAATTTGTATTTGCGGAAGAAACAAGTAACCACCCACCCAGAAGAATAAAAATTTTGTGTAAATAAAGTTGGACAACATTTTTCATAAGTTTATATGAAAATTTTTACAAAATAAAATCAAAAAAAGGAAATTTATTTAATTTTCAAATCAAAATAGGAAAAGAATTGGAATCATAATATTGGTTAAAGAAAATCACAGATTGTATAGATTTGTTGAAAGAAAAACTATGAGATTTAGAGCTGCTAATGGTGTCTCACTTTAAAAACAACTTCTAATAATCCTCAAGTACTTGGATGAAATTTTTATTATATAGAAATTGAAATTTTCAAAAATAACTCAGCAGAACGAATACATTTAATATTTTTAACTGCAATTTAACTAATTCATCTGAATCAGATTTTATTGTTGAAAAATATTGGATCGCTGCACAAATTTTATAATTATATATAAAGAGAAGAAGAAGTACAACTGAAGAAAAGAAAATTCTAATACCAGATATTAGAAGAACCGTGAGAGAAGGTATTCTTGGTAAAAAAAATTCAAGTCATCAGCAAAAAGAGAGAGAAATATTTTAATTTAATGTAAGTACATAAAATATTTATCATATGATATATATACAATCATTCTGACTCTTTTCTTACATTCTCCTTTTTTTAGTTTTTTATTTTTTTTTTCTATAAATTATTATTATTCCTTTTACTATCCTTTTTTTTCTTCTTTCTTTTTTTGGTTGATTTTGTATCCTCTTCAATCCGTTTCATTGTGACTCTCTTTACATTTTATCTATATGCATAACAATAATAATAGTATGTCATGTTTGTGAATAAAATTCCATTCACCATAATTCCAAGATCCTTTACTCGTACTTATACTAATATTGTATAACATAAAAAAATTATTCTATATATTTATAAATATTTAGTATATATATTAATTTAAGCATATTATTATTAAATGTATATACACACACATTTTTATATAATATTATACTCGTATTTGACATAAAAGCGCAAATCATATCGACGCATCACTTCTACTTGTATATTGTAACAGGAATTAACGCATAATGGAACTTTATAATAAGTTTGAAAAGCTATAATCTTATAAAATTTTTTTAAAAAAACTTATAGGATCAACAATGATTTTCCTCCCGAATCATTGAATGAAGACGACTTTTAATGCTTTCCGATATATTTTAAACACATTAGTGGATTCCTTGAAAACTTATTGAAACACACTAATTACAAAAATGTATTCAATTCTCTTTGACGTGATTAGAATTATTGTCTATACATACGAAATACAAGTTGTAGTAAAACAGGAGAGCAAATCTTTGAAATGTTTCTTTGCAAAATACTTTCTGTAACTCATAATTCATTAGACTGGGTATAGTGTTCAAATAATGTCGCACTGTGCATTAATGTTCAATGGTGTAGTAGTTATAGCACCGGTTCTCTAACAATAAATAATCAATATTTTGCAATAATTAGTATAAAGAAAAGCTGCGGCAGGCTGGTTATCACCTAATTAAGTCCAATGACATGTAAAACTGATTCTAGACTTTAGAAGTCAAGGGTAGGGTTCAAGTACTCCCAGGTGGAGACAAAATAGTGCGACATTGCTGTTTACTCTTTAAACTATAATTTATACGGCGTGCCTAATGTGGATTTAAATTATAGCCATTTTGTACGAAATATCGCCAACACTTATTTTAAAGTGATTGCCATTACCTTTGCCCTTATTTTTGACAATTTCTTCATTCACTCTTTATTGTCGAAAAATTTCTTTATCTTCGAAAAAACACATTATTTATGTATATATATACCAATATTATTTATTTCCTTCTCTTTGTACCTACAACCAATATTATAAAAATTGCACTCAAGATTTTTCTAGACAAAATTTCCAAACGTTAAAGTTGAATATCATATTTTTTTTTTAACATTCTCATCTTAAATATTACACTTCTCTTGATGATGCTTGATTTTCAAAAATTTTTATAAGAAAACAGATTGCATCCAATAATGTTATACAAGAAAAGAACATCAATGCTTTTGTTTGATAAAATTGTTATATTCAATAATAACGAATCTATATATTTAACAAAAATATAAAACTATAGGTATAGGGTAATGATAATAATTTTACCTTCAAAGAACTATTTTGTACTCATTCCTGCAAAATATACGTTCGTTATTGATCGAGATTTTTAAATTTTTCCAAAGTCAGTTGAACTGAAACTAAAGCACCGTGTTAAGCTTGTCAGGAAGATTCTTTGTAAAAAAAATATTTGAAAAGCTTATATATCAGTCCGTTTAAAAGCGTTTTTTTTTTTCTGCAACTTTTGTTGAAAAGGTTTTTTTTGAAACAAAAGCCTCATATCGTAAGTCCAAAAAGTGTTTCAAAAAAGATAATTAAATGTGGTGAAAAAGAGCTTGATTGAAAAACTCTTGCAAAGCAGTAGAAATTAAATGCCAAAATTTTAAGCACTGCAGATCAGTAAAGTTTTAAGTTTGGTGTAATGGAGAAAAAGTATATGGCATTATCGTATTAAGGCCGATTACCGTATATGTCTTTATTGTGATCGGAATGTAATTTATATTAATTTTGTCTCTGTTTGAGATTTCCTCTATTTTCTCAATTTAATTCGAGTTTAAAATGCATAATATAAATTTTAATTTAAAAATCATTAAACTTATATCATCTATCGGTTCAATTCAAGTTCAATGTTCTGAACTCAAAATGTTCTACGTTTCTAATATCGAGAGGTTTTAATCTGTTATTCTCTATATTGTAGCATTGAGTTTTACATCTTACAATAATAATAAGAAACTTGAACATGCATTGTATAATGTAATAAAAGCTTAGCGGTTTATTAAAAATAAAACCAAATAAATCCGTATTTAACGATCTGACGAATGTACGTTATGTATATCTTGCATCTTATCAGATTTTTTCCATGTAATTTATTTTTTAAATCTTTATTTTTAATAAAGAACAAGATTTCAAAAACATTTTCTTACGTTTTCATATAATATGGTTTTTACATATTGTAGCAGTTATATGAGATTGTGTAATATGAGTTGTACGAGCTTGAATATTTCTTAAACTATATTACAAAAACTATATAGAACTTTTATATTAGAAATATACGAATGTTGTTACAACAACGTTGTTGTATATATAACATAGACAAAATCGTTTTCTTTAATCACGATGATAGTTCATTTTAGAATTTATAGAAAATTTCAACCAAATTCTGGATAAAAGGTAAATAAATTTTCGTATTTGGCACCATACGTACCTCTGTTTAGCATCCTTGTAAAAATATACTTGTGTATAATATAATGTGACTTTCTTCTTAAATCGTATGAAAACATAGTCAAACGATTCGAATATAAGGTGACCGTTAAAAGTAGCGATCTAACAATTTCGGAAGTCCAAAATTTTAACAAGTGTTAATACTGATAAATGCATAGATGTTTCGATATATCAAAACTATTTTCTATCTTTCTATCCCATCTCGAGTCATCACGTTTAAAAAGTAGTGAAATTTAAATTTTTGGTATATGAGGAGCTCTTGCTTCTTTTGAACTTAAATTCTCTCCAAGAAGGCATATTTTGATTCAAATTTTTTCTTATTTAAGTTATTTAAGTTTTAATAAATGCTTTACTTTATTTTTATTTATAACATATGCTTTACAAATATTGTTTCTTAATTTTTTTTTTTTCCTCGTTCTTGACCGTATCCCTACCTCGTCTATACCTGTCAAATTATGTTATTGGCTATTCACTATACACTTCGTTCTACGGTTCGTGTTTATGATTTATAAAGAACACGTCGCAAACACTGAATCAATATTAAATAAAAAATTCTATACGAATTTTTCTCTACAAATTTATATACGAGTTTAAAACAGCGAAAAAGAAAAATTATTTGCGATGTAGTTAAAGTTTTTTTTTTTTGTCAACTAACTTCTTAAGAAACATAAGAATTTAACATAAAGATTTACAACAAAAGATAAAATTTATATGTAGGTACTATAGGGAATAAGGACATTTTGTACAAAAGCGCGATACAAAAGAGAACAAAAACGGCGAACGTGTTAAAAAAGGAAGATTTTTTTTTATATTTTTTTATGGGTTGCGTTAATGATAACGAAATAAAATGACAACGACAACAGTAATAGCGAAAACAAAAAATTAAACTGGGTGAAAAAATGAACTTTAAATCAGAAAGGAAAAAAACATAGAAATTTGATATTAAGTTTTTAATAAAGTAAAGAATATTCATGAAAATAATTGAAAGGGAAAATAAGAAAATAAAAGATTTAGAAAAGTTTTTAGGATTTATTGGATTTAAAAAATATAAGAAAAAGGTTTTTTGTTACCTGAACAAGTTCGCATAAACTGTGACTTAACAAGAAAAAGGTTGAAAAATATTTATTATAAATTATACGTTTAAAGTGTGTGTGATACCATAGTCGCCAGTATCAAAATCTTTAAATTATAATTAAAATAAAAATAAATACGCGGAAGAGAATTAAATAAAAAAACTGAATTTCGATTTATTTATTCGTGAGTTCAGTTAACATTAGTCTAATAGAACACATGCTCAAATTACAAGTCTTCAACCTTCGTAATGCGGTTCTTAATTAGATTAAAATTCCCACTTAAAAGAGAGAGACAAGAGGAACATATGAGAAGTTAGCAGAATTTGTAAACATTATATTCATTAAAACTGATTAAACAAAATTACCGTTCCGAAATATGAAGAATTCGTAAGGAATTTCTTACAGTTAGCATAATTAAATGTGGCCTTGTCGCGTGCATAATCTTATAGTTTTTAGTGCAACTCTAAAAGATTTAAATATTTTGATGCAACCATTTTAGTTCACGCAATTTTTTGTGTTCAAAAATGATTTCTATTATCTATATCCTTAAGACTGTTCCCAAATTAGTAATGAATATTGTAGCCTTATTTGTACTAGAAGTTCAGCTCGTTCTTTGAATTTAATTCTACACCCAACAATTTTCCTTCCAACATAGAATCGGTCTATTCTCTTTAATAGTTTACTTCGATTAAGGTATGATAATCTTTACTGAATCACAAATTTTTGTTTTCTGGTCTAAATCTAAACCCAAATGTACGCTTCTACAACCAAATTAAAAAAAATAATTTAATATGGAATCGTTATAATTTTCGATTACAATATTTTGATTACTTTCTTGTTTTTACTAGATTATTGCAAGGTCATAAAAGGGAAAATTTATAACTTCGTTTTTTTTAGTTACCTTTTGTTTCTTTTTTATTTTGAACTCTTTTTTTTGTGTTATTTACCTTCTATACAGGTGAAAATAATTTAATATTGTAGATTATTATTGTTTTCTCAGCTTTATATTGTCGATAAAGAATCTGTATGTATTTAAAGTATTAGTCATTCAGTTTGTATACGGTGATAAAATAATAAAAAATCGAAATACTTATTCAGAAAACAATTAACACTGCTGAAATTAATTTTATTTAATCAGCGGGGCGATGAGTGAAGAGTAAAGTACAATTTGGTTTTTCGAATATTTT